GTTATGTATAAAATATGTGACAGTAATGTTGAATACTCACTGTTTGCAACTGATTGATCTCACTTGGGCTGAACTGTGTTTGTTAGCGTGGTGTCAGAGCGACTGGTGGCAACTGTGATTGCGGGCTTGTATGCTAGGTGAATGAGGAACTAGGGACGGCGACGAGTTTATATCGCTCAATTTTCGCGGCGGTCTCCACCCTTATCGTATTTCTTTCCAATTGTTTATGTCATAAACGCGTGTCGTTACGTTTGGACTGTTTATTCGGTGCATGATAGTGGATAGTTTATAGTGCCAGCTTGGTGTGTGCGGATTATATTTCGAAAAGAGCATAGATGATATCAGGATGATAGTTTACGTAAAAATCCGTGACTATGGCCGGTTATACAATGCGGATCATTTTTCGAAAAGAACTATAACGTTTTCCAACAAGATCGTATTTCCATACGATAGTTTATGTGAAAACCTGTGCGTGTAACTGACGGATAACTCATATAACTGGATGACTTTTATGCTTTTGTTTGTGAGTGTATGGCTCTATATGTAATCTTCCCTGATTTTCTTTCGAGGTTGAGTAGTCATGCTTGTATACGGTTTACTGCATGTGCAAAATAGGTACCATCATTAAGTAGGTGACTGGCAATAACAACAAAACAGATTAAAAACCTCATTGGTGGGCTGTATCGACGTCGTCGCTTCCCATCTCCTGCCAGCTAGGCGACCTTGGAGGAACTGATGAAGGGCTGGCGTTGAGCTGGTCCCAGAGCAGTTGGCGTTCCGGGCACACCTCATGCTTTGGTATGAGCAGCCATATTTGCTCAAGAGTGCGGATACAGGTCTCCCGACCTATACCCGTCTGGATAAGGGGCGCGTCTTCGTACCGGGGAGCAGCCTTTGCGGTGTGGCGCAAGTGGTTGATTATGGAGGTACGAGGGACGCATTTCCGGCACCAGCAGTAAACCTGCCAGGCGCGATGGGGTAGTACGCAAATGCTCCTGAAGTCGTCGATGACTTCGCCAGTTGCGCCGTCAAATGCGCCTCTCGCTTCATCAACTGCTGCATAGACGTAGGCCGATATGCGGTAATCCGAGATGTTTTTGATTTCGTCTCCTTCTAGTAACTGTATGATGGTCGAGAGGCGGAGTATGTACGACCATTGTTGTTCCTTGGTTACGGAAGTGGGCATCCGCCCGAGGTACTGATAGAATTCGGCCGAGTGCTGATGTTTGCGCGAATTGTCCCCGATCATCATGAGATGATTGAGTTTGGTAGTAACGGCAGACATTTCTGCAATGTAAAAAGTGGTTAGCACGCGACGGAGGAGAGAGAGATTGAATGGTAGAAGTTAGTTTTGGGAGGAGGAATGCCAGTAGATTGAAAAAATTTCCTTTTTTTTTTGAAATTCGAGGTGGCATGATCATTTGATTTGTGCAATTATAAATCCTTGAAAGTATATGTATAGGATGATAGTACAATAGTATATAAAATAATAATATGTATTTGCGCGCAAACGAGCGGTCACTTTTGAATGTATACTTACATTAAGATGCGAGGGTGACGCTGATACCTGGCCAGGCTTTTCCTAC